GAGAGAGAGAGAGATCAAATCCGATATTTGTAACGTTTACGGTGGGTGAACTTTTGAAGACTTGAACACGCCATACAATTTTCAGACCATATCAGCTCTACCTGTCAGGCTGATATAGTCTGTAGCACTCAGTCCTCAAGTTTTTCAAATCCCTTTTAACATTTCCACTATAAATTCCTGGAGAATAAAAAAAAAAAAAGAAAAACTTTAATACTTTAACACTTTGATTTTTTTTTAAAAAACAATTTTATTAAAATATTTAATAAAAAATATTTAATCTTTTTGACCTGTTTAGACATGGTCAACTAATTCTAAAGTTTTTTAGTACAACATGTAAGTCCTTGTCCTTTATGAAAATAAAATAACGGAAACAATAATCCATTGAAAAATGTAAATGTTAAATAAAATGAAATTATATGTACGTGAGAGGATAAAACTTTGAGGACAGGAGAAAATAAAGTAGAAAAGAAAAGATATTATCAGAGTTTCCTAGAAATTTTTGCGAGACGGTTCACACTTGTAAAAAGCCCTCTGCGTTATTTTTAACGTCGACGATGATAACTGGAGCCTCCTCGTCGAGCAGAGCCGAAATTGTACATTTTCGCATCGACGAGCACTCCTCAGGGTGAGAATTTCACAATAAACGGTTGATGCGCTCGATATGTTGCTACTGCATGCGTGAATGTTACTTTTTATTTTCCTATTTATACATCTGTCATGTTGGAAAACATTTATTACAGTACTTTTTTTGTCCTTTGTAATATCATCCACACCAAATAGATATATTTAAAAAATTTTTAAATAAAACAAAAACATACAATTTCGTATACAGTTCGTATACAGTTGCACTTTATGATCTATATAATTTTTTATATTATGTATTTTCAATCTATATTTGTTTAATTTGTATATTTTTTAACGAGGCCGACTTTATTTATATTCTGCAACAGTGAAATATAAAACAAAATATTTTTGACAAATTTTTATATTTTTCTTTCCAGCGTTGTTAAAGGATTAAGGATTGAACGAGCGAGCGTACGCGATTATTGCAGCAAATCCTATTTTGCCGACCGCTTGTACCGGATAAGCTTATAGGAATTCATCGCATCCATCATTAATACTTCTTTTTACTTTCGTCGATGTTTATGATAGATTTTCGAGAGGTGAGAAAATCCCGCCACGTTATCACGGTCCGTTATCATACCACTATTGTATCTTCCGTTTGAAAAAAAATTTTATTTCTATTTGACGAATTTTGTAAAAGTTTGTTCTCGACAAAAACATATCTAAAATTGCGACAAATTGTTACGCTGTTGCGTTGTAACAATTTCTATTTTTAGAGATTCCCGCGTCATAAAATAGTCGAAGACTGATTCTCTATCTATTTTCGCGTGTCCAACAAGAAATTCCTAGCACAACAATAAATTTCACTTTTTTTCACGTATTTCGCATTCTTATATCCCTTTTTGCAACAATAATAAATTTAATTGTAACAATTAAACTCCACACTTCAGTCATATCGTATCACCAAAAATTGAACGGTTAAAAATATCACTGAAATTAAAATCCGAGTGTTAGATAATCGAACGCACTTGTGTTCTTTCTTTTCTGACGAAAGCACATGTCGAAAACTCGTTTTGTCCCGACGAATCTTACGAGTGGACTGAGCCGAAGTGCATGCGAAAAGCGCTTCTAAAATTAAATCACGGATGAATTTCCGAACGGAGCGCCGCTAAGGCGAGGCGAATTTCAAGCGGAAACTTTCATTTTCGTCAAATCGTCTCAGTTGTTCGAAATCTTTCCACGAATATGCATGTTGACGATTGTCTAGAAATGGAGAAGCTTCGAGAGAGAATAGTACTTGTACCCTGGATGCTTGTTTATTCGTTGATCCGCGAAAACACGAAATTGCGAAAAGCATGAACTTTCGTCTTTGTATTTTGAAATATACGACACCTGAAGTAAATTAATATATAATTATGAAAATACACGAGTCAATATTTAAAAAAATTTTTCAGAATAAAAAAGCTTTAATACTGATGTAGATATGAAATTAGTTTGTAAGTTTAATGTCACTTTTATACGTGTAAATCAATCTTTTTTATATTTTATATTTTTAAAATAAAAATTTAGTATTTATAAAAGTTTTATTTTCATTTTACATTAAAAGTTAAAATAACTACTTTATATTGTTTTTATATTCTTTTTCAAAGTTATAAAATAAAATCTATATATAGTTATAGATTTGACTCCATTAATGCTTAACTTTTTTTACATATAAATAGATATTTTTAAGTTGAGTTTATTTTAAAATAGAAATAGTGAAAAAGTGGAAAATCGTTAATTTGGAATTAAATTAAAATGTTGTATCTAACTTTAACTGCAATTTAATTTCAATTCAATTTAAATTTGAATTGATTTTACTTTAATGTAGTTCAATTATTTTTTCCCACAAATTTAAATCGTAACTCGCTTTCAAACTCAATGAACATTCTTTAATGCATAATTCGGGGTTCCCCGGGTAAATGCGAGACTTGCAGGAAGTCACCGGTGAACTTAATGCGCGTAAGGGGTTCGCAAAATTAGTTTTGTATCCAAATTATCTGCTTCGTGTCTACGCACATGTATTCACAGCGTATTCACAGGACGTAACGACGTGTTAAATCTACGATAAGAAGGCTTTGAGGCGATCCCCTCGGGGTGTGGGTGGTTCCGCGATGAGTAGCTCCTCTTCAGAATCATCTCATTTACGTTAATGAACTTAGCTCATCTCTCCCAGACACAAAGAGGATGAGGAAAGGGTAGATGCTGTCTAGAAACCCTGCCTAGATGGATTTTATAACTGGAACTTTAGCTCTTTAGAGTTTAGAAACTCCGAAAACAGAAGGATAAGAAAACGAGAGGCATGCAATATCTTGAATTTTTTAATCCCGGTAATGCTTTGAAATTTTAATTTTCAAATATTTGTAAATACATTTATTTAAGCATAATTTATCTCTCCTTCCTTTCTCCCTTTTCTGGCTCCCTCCCCTTTTGCACGTGTGTCACATGAAATTCTCGTTTGTGGATTATCGGATTCTGTCGAAATATGTGTAATCGTTCAGACACGTAGGCAGCCAAAATGCAATTTCATTCGTTCGTCTTTCTACTTTATAATATGAGGATTTGCCCCGACGTCGTCTTCAAAGCCGCTTCATAAGTTTGATATATTATTCAGAATAAGCCGAATCTCGAGCGTACTTATTTTACCGGCCAAGTTGATAGCAAGAAGGATCATAAGGATCTTGGCCGTATTCGCCGTTTCATAATGCACAACGGGGCGATGTTTTCGTCGCAGGGATTACGTCAAAACGACGAAACGTCATCCTTTTCCCCCTCGAAACATCTGTATTTCTTATTATATAGCTATAGCTTTCAATTAAAATATTATATTTGTTTTAACTTAATAATTATTATTGTTACATATTATTTTAGTTCATGTTATTACAACTGTTGCTTTCATTACATTCTAACAGCACGTTTCTATATTACCACATCTATTTCATATATTTATTTTCCATTTTTATTTACCTTTTTTTAAACAACATTTTTATGCGTCGATAAATTTTTTGCTCGAGATATATGTTATAAATACATGTGGTGGCGTTGGTATTTGCAGAAGTAGAGGTTCATTTATGTTCTATCTCTTTTGCCGGGAACGAGAAGTCATTCGAACGTGGAAAACTGGCTGCTTTCGTGGATATGGCGAAAAATCTCTACGGCGAAACGGTTATTGGTTGAAATCTATGGCGATGCGTCCATATATCGGATACCTTGTAACGACATGGCTTCCCTTGCTGAGAAAATTTTAGATAATTTCACTCAGTTTGCTTTTTTAGACCCTACTACGTATCGTTACCAGTGTTTTCCATTAGTATTTCATTCTTTAACACGCACGTCTATAATTTTCAAACTCTTACTTTTGAATATAATATTTTGCTAACCTTAAGCCATACAAATCTCCTTCTTCTTTCTATTGCCTCTATGTTTGAAATTATCATGTTTTCATATTGATAATGATCTTATATATTTTCCTCTTTTCAAGCGCACTTCAATTCTCGGAGATTTAATTCCTCTGGGAATTACAGAATAAATTCTGCTATTTCTA